CTCAGACTTCCTCGCCAGGGGGAACACTGTGGTGTAGCGGGAGTAGTCGTCAACGACCACCAAAAAGAAACGCTCACGCTCAGGGCCAGGGCGAGGAGAGGGGCCCCAGACGTCCAAGTGCAGCGTCTCAAAAGGCTCGGTGGCCGGACGAAGGGAGGAGGAGTGAGGGGTGGCACGCAGCCTACCCTCGACGCAAGGACCGCACGGTGGTGCAAGAGACGGCGGCAGCGACGGCAAGACACGCGGGAGACCTAAGACCAGACGCTGACGTGGAAGAGAAGGGTGTCCCATCCGGTGGTGCCACAGAACGGTGGGGTGGGCAAGCGACCGACAGGAGCAAGACGCAGCGACTGGACTGGACGCGACAACCTGAGGGGACGGAACCACCTGGTGAGACGCAGGGAGGAGACTAGGGGGAGGGACAGGAACTGGGAGGAGTGGCTGCTGCGACGGCGGCCGCTGTGGCTGCGGCTGCGGCTGCTGCCGCTGCTGCTGCTGCGGCTGCTGCGGCTGCTGCTGCTGCTGCAGTCGCTGCTGAGCGCGCGGGCCAGTGTGAAGAGTGTAGAGACCGGAGCCCGGCTCAGCAGCAAAAGTGGCGAGGGGCTGGTAAGAGTCCCCGTCAACACACACCGCAGTCTCTCCAGAAGGCTCAAACCACACACCCACGTGCTGACTCACGAGGGGTCGCACGCCCACCAAGTTCCGGGAGAACGAGGGGACGTGAAACCCAGTGAGAGACCCAGAAGGAGCAGCCGGACACGGCAAGGTGGTAGTGTGACGCGCAGTGACTGGTCCCGAAGTGGGATCAGCCAGCGCCACAGAAACAGGCGCAGGAAGAGGCGTAAGTGTCGTGCTGTCACGAAAGAAGCAGTGAGAGGCTCCAGAGTCCAGCGTGAACGACAGCGAACCGTCCTCTGAGGTAGCCGCTGGACTAGAGTCTACACATGAACCTACACTAGCAACAGGCAACTGAGCAAGGCTAGCACCTAAGCTAACAACACCAGAGTAAGCAGAGTCAGAAACACTAGAGTCAACAACAGCATACATAGCATGGGGAGTACCAATCAGATCAACTAACTGCTCAGCAGACATGCCCCAGAGAGCGGAGCCGTAGCGCTGAACAAGAGGCAGCCAGTCAGGGGCAGGAGCACCAACCCCGTAGACCAAACGAACCGTGTCAGTGAGCTGAGCAAAGCACTGACCAGGGGGGTGAAACCGGCCACAAGGGTGGCCACGACGAGTGCCTGTCAGAACCTGGTAGGTGCAGGGAGTGTAAGCAGCACCGCGCTGGGTCTGACGCAGCCCCGACCCTGGAGCCAGCTGCTGCCGCTGCTGCTGCTGAGGCTGCTGGGAGGAGAGGGGCTGCTGGTGCTGCAGAAGCTGCTGCTGACGCTGAGCCTGGTACCACGCCGCTGCTCCACCAACCGGGGCAGGAAGTACAGGAGGCGACTGACGAACTCGGGCGTCGCCACCACTAGCAGGCGCAGTGGAGTCACCAGTCACTGCACGAGGCGCCTCTCCAGGCCCTGAACCTCCACCGCCGCCAGGCGCAACGCCACCTCCACTACCTCCGCCTCCACCTCCACTACCACCACCAGAACCGCCTTTCTTGCCACTCCTACCGCGGGACCGCGACGCAGTCGTAACAGCAGCTGCAGTCGCGTCAGTAGCGGCAGTGGCAAGTGAGGCAGTAAAGGTGGGTAACTGCGGGACTGTGCACCCGTGGAAGAGTGGGGGGGGCACAGCACCAGAGGCAGCGGCTACCGAGCGAAGGTTGCTCTCGACGTCCTTGAGTGCAGACTCAAGGACATCGACGGTGAGCTCACTAGGGTGCTTCAGCAGAAGCGCGTCGCGAACGGAGGCAAGGCGGTCAGGGAGGCTAGTGGCGATGAAATAGATAGTAATCGCCATAGGGGGAGGAAGCAGTGCAAGCTGTGCCTCAGTGCAAGCAGCGCGGTAACTAGCGTCGAGCGAGCGGAGGTGAGCGATCAAGTCAGCAGAGCGCTCAAACGAGGCGAGATCAGGAAACAGGAACGGGAGGAAAAGACGGCCAAGAGAGACAGTAGCGGGAGTAGAGTAGCGGGCCTTAATCGCAGTGAGGTACGCAGCAGCGGTGCGAACCTGAGTGAAGTGGACCTCCTCTGACTCAGGGAGGAGGCTGCTGAGTGCGATGCAGGCCGCAGCGTCACGCGACGTCCAAGCCGTCCTGTCAGCGCGCTGACGGGCAAAGCGAGCCGTAGCAGCATCGTCAGGGGCAGGACCTAAAGCGGCAGGCTCGGGGGGCTCGGGGAGGTCACCAGTAGCGTGCGACCAGAGGGTCTCGCCCCCCTGGACTTGACTCTCTAACAGACGGCGAGCGCGAAGAAGCCAGACGGAGAAGTCAAGAGGTCTACCGTCAGCGTCGAAACGAAGAACTCGCGGAGTCGCCATAGCGAGAACGAACGCGAACGAGCAGGCGAGTAACAGCAGGAGGTAAGAGGCAAATTAGGGTTCAGGTGGGGGGACTTAGTCGCAGCGGAAGAACGGGCTAGGGCGACGGGCCAGGGCGTAGGGTCGACGGGACGGGGGAAAGGGCGGGCGCGATGCGACGGGGCAGGGCGACGCGACGGGGCAGGGCGACGCGACGGAGCAGAGGCGACGGGACGGGGAAGGGCGACGCGACGGGGCAGGGCGACGCGACGGGGCAGGGCGACGGGACGGGGAAGGGCGACGGGACGGGGCAGGGCGACGGGACGGGGCAGGGCGACGCGACGGGGCAGGGCGACGGGACGGGGAAGGGCGACGGGACGGGGCAGGGCGACGGGACGGGGCAGGGCGACGCGACGGGGCAGGGCGACGGGACGGGGAAGGGCGACGGGACGGGGCAGGAAAGGGACGCGACGAGGGGGAAAGGGCGGGCAGGACGCGACGCTAGGAGTGGCGCTAGGCGCGGCACTACGCGCGGTAACAACGAAACCGGGACGAATGAGAGCTAGGATCAGGCTCGGGAGGCTCGAACGGAGAACGGAGGAACGGGATCCCACAGGATCCTAACCTAACTGATACCATGTCAGAATGAAGAATGGATGATGCATTGATGTTGGTTGGGGTACATATAGCTAACCCTAAGTTTTGTACCCCCTAAGACAAACCTCACTATAGGCTACAACATTTGACAGCTACCTGGTTTAAGCTTCTTCATGTGAAAGGGGTTGACATTGGACTGAAGTGTTGTTCACTGGATGTTATTTGGAGCGTTTAAAGCTCAATATTCCGGCGAAACATCCTATGGCCAATGAATGAAAGCTGACCACTGCTAATGGTCACATTTATTGTATTTTGGTGGGTCAGAGTGCATTTTGTGGCAGCAGGTGACCAAAACCTACCATCAATATTCAGTCTTTTCCTTGCACATAGAAATGAACCTACCACTGCCATAACAGGAGTGTAGTGCAAGCAACACTTATGCTTTTTGTCATCGCAAACAGTAGAAATTCCCATCACATTGTGTACCATCCCTGTGTAAAACTCTTGCATGCTGTGCAATCATGAAAAGGCCTAAATTACCTATTAAACCACTGTATTATCTGTTACATACTGCACCGTAGTATATCCTGTGCTACTCCTGTACTGTAGCATACTGTTCAACTCCTCTCAGTCATCCAACCAAGCCTCCACATTCCGTTTGCTCTGGAATTGTTGGTAAGCCGCCTCAAAACCCTCAATCTCCTGTCGTGTACCAGCAGCAGCAGCAACAGCAGCAGAAGCAGCAGAAGCCCCGCCTGCTCCCCCATCGACACTCCCTACCTCTCGCGCAACTGCGTACACTCCACTCCTCCCACCCACAACCCCTTCCTGTGCGCCCTCCCCTGCTCTCTCTCCCACTCCAGCAAAAACACCCCCATCACCACCTCTTGATCCCTCTGCACCTGTCTGGTACTCGTTCCCCGCCTGGTTACTCCCCTCTACTGCACTACGACCACCATCACCACCACTGTCTGTTGCTCTCCCTCCCCCATCCACATCCTCCCCTAGCCACGACGCCAAGTCACCACCGTCTCTCACTTCCCTACCACTGCCACTAGCACCAGCACCACCACTACCAGCACCACCAGCAGCAGCAGTGTTATCAGCAGTGTTACCACCAGCACCGCCACCAGCAGCAGCAGAAGGCCCATCCAGGCCTGGAGATGACTCAAAGGAGCCACGCTCGGGAAGGGGTTCATAGCCAGGTGCGATGTGGTTCACGTAATGCGACATGGACGATAGGAGGAACCTGGACCGGTCTGGAACAGCAGATTCCTGGCTGGGTTTTGACGCGAGTCTCAGACCAGCGACAGCACCAGCAGCTGCAGCAGCAGCAACGGTGGTGGCAGCAGAGTCAGCAGCCACAGCAGCGGCTGAAGATCGAGACTCAGAAGGAGCAGAAAGACTCGTAGTGGTGGTGGGTTCACGATCTTCAGAGCTCTCCATCAGTTCCTGCCCCAGGACTAGCTTGAATGCTAGTGCCAGCACAAGGGAACGATCCCCCTGCGTGCCTGCTTGGCTACTGCTTGCAGCTTGACTGCCTGATGCTTGACTTGCCTCGCCTCCAGATGAATTGGAAGAGAATTCTGTAGAAGCAGCAGCGGCGGGAGCGGCAGTAGCAGCAGCAGCAGCAGCAGCGTTGGTGTGTGCAGGAGGAGTGGAGGAGAGGAGAGGGGCGAGGAGGGTGGAGAGGAAGCGGCAGCGGTCGTACACATCGGAAGAGGAGTCTGATGCACAGATGGAGAGGGCAGAGAGCAGCACGTGGGATATGGTGCTGTGTGCTGTGTGCAGGTCAGAGGATTCTGGTGTTGTTGTTGAGGAGATGAGCGAGTTGTTGACATGTGGAGCTGCAATCAAAAGGTACACCTGGTGGGAGTGGTGCAGGGGAAAGAAAGAACATGGGCGCAGGGGGTGTGCAAAAAAGAATAAAAGAAAAAGAAGGGTGTTTAACAAACCTTGTTGAATAGACTTGAGTTGAATTGGGTTGACTAGCGTTAAACCACCTGCCTTAGCAACACCATTCAGCAATTGGACAGTTCAGTGGACCTAGCAACTCTAGCAAGTACAGTGGACCTTCTTGGACTGGCTTGCGATGACTAGAGTTGACTTGATTTGATTTACTGACCTTAGCGGCAGCATTGAGCAGCTGTAGCTTGACCGAGGGCGGTTGGGAGGGGAGGGACGGGAGGAGCAGGGAGAGCGCGGTGGGGCAGGCGAGGAGGAGCGGGGGCAGGGAGCGGGCGGCGTGGGCGAGGAGAGAGAGAATGAGCGCCCGGGCTTCAGGCGGGTGGATGGATGGGAGGGATAGGAGCAGTCGGAGTAGCACCTGGGAGAGGGGAGAAGGAAGGAGGGTGAGGGGGAAAAAGAGAGAGGAACGGGAGGAGGAAACGGGGGTATGGAAAGAGGAAAATATGAGGATGGGGGTTGGTTAGATGGCCTAACAGATGGAAGGGATAGGAGAAGGCAGAGTAGCGGCAGGGAGGGGCAAAGGGACTTTTGAGTCGACTCAAAAGTCACCTCGTTACAATGGCACACGACACTTTCTCCGGACGGAAGGGATAGGAGAGGGCAGAGTATCGGCAGGGAGGGGCGAACGAGAGTGGGGAGGAAAGGGGGGAAGGTAAACGGGAAAGGCGAGGATAAGGGTGGGTATGACGGTGGATGGGAGGACGGGTGGCACGACTAATGCTTCTGGCCTCACTTTTCATGGTGATTAAATCTATTTCACCACTGTGGACACTACTAATGATTGATTCTGTTTCACCACTGTGGACCATGCAGAGCCTCCAGAACCACGCCACTCTGCATCGCCCTCACCACCACTCATCATCTCATAACCATCCACTAACTTCCTACTTCCCTCTCCCCAAACCTCCGCAGCCCACCTGTTTACTAATAACAACATCTACTTCCCTCTCCCCAAACCTCCGCAGCCCACCTGTTTACTAATAACAACATCTACTTCCCTCTCCCCAAACCTCCGCAGCCCACCTGTTTACTAATAACAACATCTACTTCCCTCTCCCCAAACCTCCGCAGCCCACCTGTTTACTAATAACAACATCTACTTCCCTCTCCCCAAACCTCCGCAGCCCACCTGTTTACTAATAACAACATCTACTTCCCTCTCCCCAAACCTCCGCAGCCCACCTGTTTACTAATAACAACATCTACTTCCCTCTCCCCAAACCTCCGCAGCCCACCTGTTTACTAATAACAACATCTACTTCCCTCTCCCCAAACCTCCGCAGCCCACCTGTTTACTAATAACAACATCTACTTCCCTCTCCCCAAACCTCCGCAGCCCACCTGTTTACTAATAACAACATCTACTTCCCTCTCCCCAAACCTCCGCAGCCCACCTGTTTACTAATAACAACATCTACTTCCCTCTCCCCAAACCTCCGCAGCCCACCTGTTTACTAATAACAACATCTACTTCCCTCTCCCCAAACCTCCGCAGCCCACCTGTTTACTAATAACAACATCTACTTCCCTCTCCCCAAACCTCCACCACCCCCGCTCCCCAACACTACCTTGCTGTGTGCTGCAGGACATCCCTCAATCAGCCGTTTCGCGCCATGTAAAGCCTCCAGAACCACGCCGCTCTGCATCGCCTTCATCTCCACCCTAAGCTCCTCCTCCTCTTCCTCCTCCTCCTCCTCCTCCTCCTCCTTCTCTTCCGCCTCCCTTCCCTCACTCCTTTCCTCCTGCCCGTTCCCCTCCTGCCGCTCCTCCTGTCTCTCCTCTGCGTGTTCTCCTGTCGTCCCTGCCTCTGCACTCTCACCAGCAGCAGCACCACCACCACCACCATCCGCACCAGCACCAGCAGCAGCAGCACCAGCAGCAGCACCACTGCTGCTGCTGCTGCTGACACCACCACTGGAGCCGCGCTGTATCGCCAGCTGCACCAGCCCCTCCACCACTGACGCGGCGACATCTGGCACGCTCTCAGCCACCCGTGTGACTGCTGCAATGATGGCACAGGCAGAAGTGGCGTCTGCAGAGCGAAGGCAGGCCTGGGGAAGGGGAAGGGGAAGGGAAGGGGAACCGGGAGGGGAAGGGGAACCGGGAGGGGAAGGGGAACCGGGAGGGGAAGGGGAACCGGGAGGGGAAGGGGAAGGGGAAGCGGAAGGGGAAGGGAAAGCAGAAGGGGAAGGGGGAGTAAAAGGAGAAAAGGAAAGAGAAGGGCAGGTTTGAGAGGGGAGGAAATTGATTAATCCCTGAAGCAAGCGGGAATGAAAAAAGTTGTGCCGAACGAATGCAGTCCTGAGGCAGGGGAAGGCATTGGCAGATTGGCAAATGTGCCAAGGTGTTGGCAGGTGTTGCAAGGTGATGGCAGGTGTTGCAAGGTGTTGGCAGGTGTTGCAAGGTGTTGGCAGGTGTTGCAAGGTGTTGGCAGGTGCAACAAGGGATCCACTATTAAGCCTTTCTGAAACACACCTGGAGCTCTAGCAGCAGAGCAGAGGCGTTGGCAGGCGTGGCGAGGAGTCTACTTGTTTTGAGGCGCCTCAAGAGGAGCCTACTTGTAAAGCCCCGCTAGACTAGAGTACACCTGCAGCTCTAGCAGCAGAGCGGAGGCATTGGCAGGCGTGGCGAGAAGTCTAATTGTCAATCCCCTTTATTAACACACCTGCAGCTCTAGCAGCAGAGCAGAGGCGTTGGCAGGCGTGGCAAGGAGAGGCAGCAGGGCGAGCTTGTGAGCGCGCAGAGGGGGCAGGTCGGCCGCAGAGGGGTAGAGGAGGTGCATGTAGGGCACAAAGATAGACGGGCGGCGATGGGCCATGGTGGATATGATGGTTAGCACCTGATGGGGGCGATGGGGGAGGGATGGGAGGAGGGACAAGGGAAGGGCCGCGCGGAAGGATGGTGGAAAAACGGGGGGGGATTAGGGAGGAAGACGGAGGAGGGGGGTGTGGGAGGGAAGGACCAATATTTTTGGAACAGAGGGTGTGGCGGCGCCTAGGGTTGGAACAGGCTGTTGGTGGCAGCAGGGAGGGTAGAGGAGGTGCATGTAAGGCACGAATATGGACGGACGGTGATGGGCCATGGTGGATATGATGGTTAGCACCTGATGGGGAGGGTGGGGAGGGGATACAGGGATGGGGGGGGGGATGGGCGAAGGGGAAGTGAGGGGACGGGGAGGGGGGCAAGGGAGGGGGAAAAGTGGGAGAAAAGGACGGATGTGTTGGGAACTGAGGGTTAGGCGGCGTCTAGGCCTGAAACAGGCTTCATGTGGCGATGTGAGGGGTGGAGGAGGTGCATGAAAGGCATGAATATGGATGGACGGCGTGACTTTTGAGTCGACTCAAAAGGACGGCGATAGGCCATGGTGGATACAATGGTGAGTATCTGATGAGGAGAGATGGGGGAGATGGCGGAGGGATGGGCGAAGGGGGAGGGATACGGGGAGGCAATGGGGAAGGGGGATGGGGGAGAGGATGTGCAGCAAGTGCTAAGCTAACTTACAAGCATTTGCGCATGCGGTACGGAGCGGAGGAGGAACAGCAGCGGCGGCACAACCAGTGTCCCAACATCCGCATCACTGGGGTTGAGTTCCCATTGCACTGTCGCTGCTGCTACCACTGCGCTGCTGCTGCTGCTGCTGCTGCTGTGATGCAAGTGCTAAGCTAACTCACCGGCATTTGTGCATAGGGCGTGGAGCGCAGGAGAAACAGCAGTGGCGGCACCACCAGCGTTCCAACATCCGCATCACTGGGGTTGAGTTCCCATTGCACTGTCGCTGCTGCTACCACTGCGCAGCTGCTGCTGCTGTGCAGCAGAGCTTGGGAGCAACGCAGCAGCAGCTGCACGTCTGATGGTATGTGGCGAGTGAGGGACGCAGACGAGGAGAGAGGAAGAACGCCCTTCACCCCTTCCCGTTCTGCTGCTGCTGCTGCTGCTGCTGCTGCTGCTGCTGCTGCTGCTGCTGCTGCTGCTGCTGCTGCTCCTCCTCCTCCTCCTCGTCCCTCTCCTCCTCCATCTGTTCCTCCTGCCCCTCCTGCCCCTCCCTCTCCTGCGCCAAACCCCCCACGCTGCCCCTCCCCACCGTCCCATGGGCATAAGCAGCGCAGCGCAGCAGCAAGCCCAACAGGGTGGTCTGGCCACAGGCGTCGAGGTCTGCTAGTAGGTGGCAGAGGAAGCGGAAGCGCGGGAGGAGGAGGGAGAGGCGGTGGGGGCAGATGGCCGAGAAGGAGGCTGCTGCTGCTCCGACCACTGAGGGAGAGGAGTCTGAGAGGAAAACGGAGAGAAGCTGAGGGAAAAAGGAGGAGAGGGAGGAAACCAATGGGGAAGAGAGGAGAAGGGGGTAGGGGGGATGGGAGATGGAAGGGAGCGGGAGGAGGAAGTGGATGGGATGTGTGAGAATGGAGAGAGAATTTGGAGAGGGGTGGTGGAATATAGCAGCTTTGAATCGTTTCACTCAATGGGCAGGGCAGGCAGGGTTATATGGGATACAGGGAGAGAAGCTGAGAAGTATCTTTTGAGTCGACTCAAAAGTCACCTCGGCAGGCAGGGTTATATGGGATACAGGGAGAGAAGCTGAGAAGTATTTTGAGTCGACTCAAAACAAGCTGAGAAGTATTAAGAGACGTCTCAAAACAGGCAGGCAGGGTTATATGGGATGGGATACAGGGAAAGACGCTGAGAAGTATTTTGAGTCAACTCAAAACACAGCGCTGAGACGTTTAGAGCTGGGAAGTTGAGGGTGGGGAGGAGAGAAGTGGGGAGGAGAGAAGTGGGGAACAATGGAGTGGTAGTGGCCCATACCCATCCCCACACCACACACCCCAAACTTCCCCTCCCGTTCCCCTCCCCTCTATCCCCCATTCCCCAACCTTTCCCACACCATATCACGCCCCAACCCCCCCCCCATCCCCCTCTCTTGCCCATTCCCATCCTCAATCCCCCATTCCCTCACACACTGCAAGCCCCACACACTTCCCCTCCCTGTTTTCCCCACCTCCCACCCATAAAATCACAGAATCTCTCACCTCCTCCACTTCCTCCTGTACAGCCTCCCCACCCACAGCCGCCAAGGCAGGGAGACACAGAGCAGCGGTGCAGCGGTGCACGACACAACACACACCCCAACCCCAGAAACTCACCTCCTCCACTTCCTCCTGTACAGCCTCCCCACCCACAGCCGCCAAAGCAGGGAGACACAGAGCAGCAGTGCAGCGAACCAAGGCTGAGGGGTCTCTCGCCACGCGCCCCACGGCCAGACACGCGATCTGCAGCGCTGCAGGCAGGCGCATGGCAGCAATGGCGCGCAGGGCGTGGGCGCGCACTGCTGCGTCCGGGTCCCCCAGGTCCTTGTGCAGTGTGTTTATCACCATCAGGGCCTCAGAGGGACGGCTGGAGAAGGGAAGGGCGTAGGGAGGAAGGCAGAACGGTTGTAGGGAGTGTGTGGCAGATATGGGATAAGCCGTGGTGGCAGGGGTTGGAGGCAGGCAGGGGGTTGGAGGGAAGGTGCAGGCAGGCGCATGGCAGCAATGGCGCGCAGGGCGTGGGCGCGCACTGCTGCGTCCGGGTCCCCCAGGTCCTTATGCAACGTGTTTATCACCATTAGAGCCTCGGAGGGGCGGCTGGAAGGGGGGAAAGATGAAAAAGGGGGGATGAGATGGGAAGGGGAGAAGTAGAGGGGTGGGAAGGTGGCGTGGGTGCGCACTGCTGTGTCCGGGTCCCCCAGGTCCTTGTGCAACGTGTTTATCACCATCAGGGCCTCGGAGGGACGGCTGGGAGGGGGGGACGAGGGGAAAAGGCACGAGATGAGTATAGGAGTCGCGTTGACTCGTGCACTGCTGCGACCGGGTCCCCCAGGTCGTTGTGAAGCCCATTAGGGCTTCGGAGGGACGGCTGGGAGGGACGGCTGGGAGGGAGAGCATGGGAGGGACGGCTGGGAGGGAGAGCATGGGAGGGAGAGCATGGGAGGGAGAGCATGGGAGGGAGAGCATGGGAGGGAGAGCATGGGAGGGAGAGCATGGGAGGGAGAGCATGGGAGGGAGAGCATGGGAGGGAGAGCATGGGAGGGAGAGCATGGGAGGGAGAGCATGGGAGGGAGAGCATGGGAGGGAGAGCATGGGAGGGAGAGCATGGGAGGGAGAGCATGGGAGGGAGAGCATGGGAGGGAGAGCATGGGAGGGAGAGCATGGGAGGGAGAGCATGGGAGGGAGAGCATGGGAGGGAGAGCATGGGAGGGAGAGCATGGGAGGGCGAGTATGGGAGGGCGAGTATGGGAGGGAGAGCATGGGAGGGAGAGCATGGGAGGGAGAGCATGGGAGGGAGAGCATGGGAGGGAGAGCATGGGAGGGAGAGCATGGGAGGGAGAGCATGGGAGGGCGAGCATGGGAGGGCGAGCGTGGGAGGGAGAGCGTGGGAGGGCGAGCATGGGAGGGAGAGCATGGGAGGGAGAGCATGGGAGGGAGAGCATGGGAGGGAGAGCATGGGAGGGAGAGCATGGGAGGGAGAGCATGGGAGGGAGAGCATGGGAGGGAGAGCATGGGAGGGAGAGCATGGGAGGGCGAGCATGGGAGGGAGAGCATGGGAGGGCGAGCATGGGAGGGAGAGCATGGGAGGGAGAGCATGGGAGGGAGAGCATGGGAGGGCGAGCATGGGAGGGAGAGCATGGGAGGGAGAGCATGGGAGGGAGAGCATGGGAGGGAGAGCATGGGAGGGAGAGCATGGGAGGGAGAGCATGGGGGGGAGAGCATGGGGGGGAGAGCATGGGAGGGAGAGCATGGGAGGGAGAGCATGGGAGGGAGAGCATGGGAGGGCGAGCATGGGAGGGCGAGCATGGGAGGGAGAGCATGGGAGGGAGAGCATGGGAGGGAGAGCATGGGAGGGCGAGCATGGGAGGGAGAGCATGGGAGGGAGAGCATGGGAGGGAGAGCATGGGAGGGAGAGCATGGGAGGGAGAGCATGGGAGGGAGAGCATGGGAGGGAGAGCATGGGAGGGCGAGCATGGGAGGGAGAGCATGGGAGGGCGAGCATGGGAGGGAGAGCATGGGAGGGAGAGTATGGGAGGGAGAGCATGGGAGGGCGAGCATGGGAGGGAGAGCATGGGAGGGAGAGCATGGGAGGGAGAGCATGGGAGGGAGAGCATGGGAGGGAGAGCATGGGAGGGAGATGTCAGAATCTAGCAGCAGGAATGAATGAACTAGCAGCATGCAGGAGTACAAGTAGTAAACCCTAATTGGGCTGTACCCCATATGGGCTACCTCACTACAGCCTAGACAATATCCAGCATATATGTTTGACACACCCCCATAGGCAAAGTGGGGGAGAACAAGAGGTCACACGACCAGTCAAGAGAAGCAAAGCAAGCTCAGGGTGGATCTCAACGTCACCACACATTCTGAGCACAAGCAAAGGGCCACAAGGCCAGTCCACATGCAGAGATATATATACAACAATAACAGTACAGTGATGACTACCTAGCAAGAGCAGGCATGCATGTATATATATAGATCACAGTACAAGTAGAGACTACAGCAAGTGTGGAAACGTAGGCACAAGGCCTAACAGGGTACAAAAGCGCTGATGATCACCAGACGGAAGTGCCTTGGTGAATATATCAGCAGTGTTGACCCGAGTGGCCTCGTGACGAAGACGAAGCTGGCCTCGCTGCTGCAACTCTCGAGCCAGGAAGTAACGCAGAGCAATGTGCTTCGTTCTGTGCTCCAGTCTGTGCTCCTCACACAAGGCAATGGCGGCCTTGTTGTCGACGTACAGCACTGGAGGAGAACGAGGCTGCTCTCCCAAGTCAGTCAGCAGGTAGGTGAGCCAGCGTAACTCCTGTGCAGCCATGGCTGTGGCGTAGATCTCAGCCTCACAACTGGAGCTGAGAACTGAAGACGAGCGTGTAGAACGCCACGAAACTGAACCAGAGCCAAGGCTGAAGGTGTAACCCTGTGACGACCGCTGAGTAGCCAGGTCGTCAACCCAAGAAGCGTTTGAGTGCCCAGTGAGGACAACTGGGCTCGTCCCTCCAAGCACTAGCCCCATGCCTGATGTGCTGCACAAGTAGCGCAGTACCCTCTTAGCAGCAGCCATGTGCTCAGGTCGGTGCCGACCAGGAGCCACGTAGCGAGCCAGAAGACCAAGAGGGTACGCGAGGTCAGGTCGAGTGCAAGTCATCAGGTACATGAGGCAGCCGACTAGCTCTGGGTAAGGACCACTCGGCTCTACGGACTCGTCCGAAGGTGGAGCTGAGAGCGTGTGACCTGTAGCCAGAGGAGTGGCCTGTGCTGAAGACCAGGTGAAGCCGAAGCGCTGAAGGACCTGCTGCACCATGTGTGACTGAGTCAAGGTGATGGTGCGGCGTGCTCTGTCCCGGGTGATCTGCAAGCCAAGGTAGCTGCGCAGCTCACCCAAGTCTGTGCACGTGTGTCTCTTCTGCAGCTCCGACTTCACGTGGGCGAGAGCCTCAGTGTCAGCAGTGGCAAAAACCAAGTCGTCGACGTACACGAGGATGTAGAACGGCGGCAGTGAAGTGTCGGTGCGCAGAAACAGCGACGGGTCAGCAGTAGAAGGCGCAAACCCAAGAGCCGCAAGCGTAGTCCTCAGTGTGTCGTGCCACTCACGTGGTGCCTGGCGGAGACCGTAGACCGGCCGCCGGAGGCTCCACTGGGTGCCAGGAGGGAACGACCCAGTGAAGCCCGGGGGGCGGCGCAGCCAGATCTCCTCGTGCAGGCTGCCCTGTAAGAAAGCTGTGCTGAAGTCAAGTGAGTGAAGCTCGTAGTCACGGTGAGCAGCAACATGCAGCAGCACCCGAAGAGTGGTCATCTTCGGGGTGGGGGAGAAGGTCTGGAAGAAGTCTACTCCCTCTCGCTGACTGAAGCCTCGAGCCACGTAACGCGCCTTGAAGACAGGCGGAGAACCCGACGGCCGCTTCACTCTGAAAATCCACATGCCACTGACGATGTTCGCCCCAGGTGGGGGAACCTCGTCGACATAGGTGCCTGTGGATTTCCAGGAAGCCATCTCTGCGTCCATGGCTGCCTGCCACTGAGAGGAGTAGGGACCCTCTATCGCCTCTGCGTAAGAGCGCGGAGTCGGGATGTCTGGTGCATCCGGGTCTCCCTCAGGGGCAAGTAGCGAGGACACAAGATGAGGTAAAGCAGCAGCGAGACACTGGAACTCCTCCTGCCTGTCCTCAAGGACGTCCGTGCTAAGAGCACACTCACCCCCGACGGACGGAGGACAGACAGACTCAGACTCAGTAACAAGACTGGCAGTGAAGTCTAGACGACAGGCAGCAGCAAAGTCAACAAGCTCAGCGACAAGAGCAGACGCAGCAGCAGACTCAAACGACGGGTCAGTGACAACTGTGGCTAGTAGACGCGTGACAGTAGGGTGCTCAGCACGAAACCGGTCAGACGCAGGGTCCGGAACGTCAGGCAACGAGGACGCAGGAGGAGACGGCAGAGGAACAGGCTGCGGAGCAGAGGAAGGACGACGGACTACGAGGTGTGCGCTGGGGACAGCCGGCTGACGCGAACGAGGAACACGACGACCGGTACGACTAGGACGAACAGGCGAAACAGGACGCGACGCAGGCTCACGACGCTCAGCAGGACTACCAGTCTGCACAGTGTAAGGAGAAGGAGCAGGCAGCGGTGAGCCGGGCTGTAACGGAAGACCAGTAGACGACGGGAGAGTAAGAACCTGACGAAGAACAGAGTCAGACGGCGGCAGAGACGACGGAGACGGCGGAGCGAAGAACCGTCGTGTCGGCGCAGCTGCACCAGGAGCGGCAGCTCCAGCAGCTCGAGTGCCTCCAGCAGCTCCAGTACCTCCAGCAGCTCCAGAAGCTCCAGTCCCAGAGCCGACACCTCCAGCCCCAGGGTCTCCAACCTCTGTGTCTCCAGCAGCAGCACCCCCAGAACCAGCACCTCCAGTCCCAGGGTCTCCAGCCTCAGTGTCTCCAGCAGCAGCACCCCCAGAACCAGCACCTCCAGTCCCAGGGTCTCCACCCTCTGTGTCTCCAGCAGCAGCACCCCCAGAACCAGCACCTCCAGTCCCAGGGTCTCCAGCCTCAGTGTCTCCAGCAGCAGCACCCCCAGAGCCAGCACCTCCAGTCCCAGGGTCTCCAGCCGCAGTGTCTCCAGTACGAGCACCTCCAGAACCAGCGACTCCAGCACCTCCAGTAGACAAAGGTCCAGCACCACTCCTAGCTCCAGCAGCGCGACGCGGACGGCGACCGTACCAGTCCTGCAGCTGCTGTGGGGTGAGAGGCACACGTGGACGAAGGCGGCTACTCCAAGGAGACCGCGCAACAGCAGACTCAGAACCCTCAGCGCCCGCACCCCCAACGGCTCCAGAACCTCCGGTGTCAGTACCCTCAGCACCTGCACCTCCAGCGGCTCCAGAACCTCCAGCGCCAGCACCCTCAGTAGCTCCAGAACCTCCAGCGTCAGTACCGCCAAGCTCAGCACCCCCAGACCCCTCACACTCAGGCTCAGCACCACCAGGCTCCACACCCTCAAGCTCCGCACCCTCAGGCTCAGCACCCCCAGGCTCAGCACCCCCAGGCTCTGCACCCCCAGGCTCAGCACCCCCAGAAGTAGCACCCCAAGAAGGACAACCCTCAGTAGGACCTGAGTCACCAGTGACCTCAACCGGCGCAGTCAAGGGAGGAGGGTCTACCTGAGAAACACCTGAAGGAGCAGGACCAGGAGTGGGGAGGGGGTCTACCTGGGGAGCACCTGGAGCGAGGAAGAGCGGCGGGGGGGGGGAGCGGGGCAGTGCGGTAGGGGAAGAGACGGTAAAAGGGAACCGACTCGTCGAACGTGACGTCCTGAGACGCAAAGACACGGCGCGAGGTGGGATGGTAAAACTGCCAACCAGGCGCGTCAGGGACAAAGCCAAGGAAGACACAGGGAACAGCGCGGGCGGAGAGCTTGTCCGCGGTAGGCAGGCAGGCAAGCAGGCAGGCAGGCAGGCAGGCAGGCCGGCAGGCAGGCAGGCAGCCAGGCAGGCAGGCAGGCAGGCAGACAGGCAGGCAGGCAGGCAGGCAAGCAGACAGACAGGCAGGCCGGCAGGCAGGCAGGCAGGCCGGCAGGCAGGCAGGCAGTCGCGCAGGCAGGCAGGCCGGCAGGCAGGCAGGCAGCCAGGCCGGCAGGCAGGCAGGCAGCCAGGCCGGCAGGCAGGCAGGCAGACAGGCAGGTCGTCAGGCAGGCAGGCAGGTGCTCACCAGGCGAGCAGGGCCGGCGCTCGACGGGCGGCGGCCGAGTAGGCGCACGACAGCGGCGGCGTCGGGGCCGCAAAACCGGCTGCAGAGCAGGGCCGAAGCAGCTGCAGGGCGGGGCCGTCTCAGCGGCAGTAGCAGGGTGGGGCCGCGTCAGCGGCAGGTCGGGGCCGTGGCAGCTGCAGAGCGGGGCCGCATCAGCGGCAGGTCGGGGCCGTGGTAGCTGCAGGGCGGGGCCGCATCAGCGGCAGGTCGTGGCCGAGGCAGAGGGCCGCGCGCGGCTCGGCGCGGGCTGCGCTGACAGCGCGTGGAGCTGCTGCAGGCCGCGCGCGGCCGCGCTAGGGAGTAGCGGGCCGCGCGCGGCTCGGCGCGGGCTGTTGCGGGCCGCGCGCGGGCCGCGCGAGGCAGTAGCAGGCCGCGCGCGGCTCGGCGCGGGCTGCTGCGGGCCGCGCGCGGGCCTCGCGAGGCCGTAGCAGGCCGCGCGCGGCTCGACGCGGGCTGCGCGCGGCAGCTGCGGGCTGCGCGCGGCTGCAGCGGGCTGTGCGCGGCTCGGTGCGGGCTGCGCGCGGCTGCAGCGGGCTGTGCGCGGCTCGGCGCGGGCTGCGTGGGCTCTGTGCGGGCTGCGCGCGGCTGCAGCGGGCTGCGCGCGGCTCGGCGCGGGCTGCGCGGGCTCTGTGCGGGCTGCGCGCGGCTGCAGCAGGCTGCGCGGGCCTTACGGGCCTCTAGGGGCGGCGCGTGGGCCTTACGGGCCTCTAGGGGCAGTGCGCTGGCCTAGGGCAGTAGGAGGCAGCGCTAGGGCTGCTGGACGGCGCACATAGTGCAGCACGTCACAAGGCAAGGCAAGGCAGGCAGGTACGTGGGGTAGCGCGGTAACCGCAGCGGTAGGTGGGCCCGGAAAAAAAACGGTCCTACGGACCTTAGTGCTCTGAAACCATGTCAGAATCTAGCAGCAGGAATGAATGAACTAGCAGCATGCAGGAGTACAAGTAGTAAACCCTAATTGGGCTGTACCCCATATGGGCTACCCCACTACAGCCTAGACAATATCCAGCATATATGTTTGACAGGAGAGCATGGGAGGGAGAGCATGGGAGGGAGAGCATGGGAGGGCGAGCATGGGAGGGAGAGCATGGGAGGGCGAGCATGGGAGGGAGAGCATGGGAGGGAGAGCATGGGAGGGCGAGCATGGGAGGGAGAGCATGGGAGGGAGAGCATGGGAGGGAGAGCATGGGAGGGAGAGCATGGGAGGGAGAGCATGGGAGGGAGAGCATGGGAGGGAGAGCATGGGAGGGAGAGCATGGGAGGGAGAGCATGGGAGGGAGAGCATGGGAGGGAGAGCATGGGAGGGAGAGCATGGGAGGGAGAGCATGGGAGGGAGAGCATGGGAGGGCATACTTTTAAGCACAATGGCCGATGAAGGAGCAGACCATACAGTTGATGGGGAGCAATAGGTTGATCAGTACTTGCGAGGTGCCTATCCCCTAGATCGGCCTTGAGGTGCCTCAAAGGGTGAGAGCAGAGCAGGGCGTACCGTTGAGCATAGTGGGCAATGAAGGAACAGACCGTGCGCTTGATGGGGAGCCTACACAAACTTAGAAAAACAGCTTGCTAAAAGCTGCTGCTGCCACGCAGACCATGGCTCCTGTTTGGGGCTCGATTGGACTCACCGTTGAGCATAGTGGGCGATGAAGGAACAGACCATGCGCTTGATGGGGAGTGATGGGGTGATGCTTCTGATGTGGACATTTCTTGTTTTACTAAGAGGCGCCTAGAGAATAAAATGCATAGGCAGGCGTACCGTTGAGCGTAGTGGGCAATGAAGGAGCAGACCATGCGCTTGATGGGGAGCGATGGGGTGATCACCAGCTTCACCACCTGCATGGCACGGCATGACAGGGCATGGCATGGCATGACATGGCATGGCATGACATGGCATGGCATGGCATGGCATGACATGGCATGGCATGGCATGGCATGGCATGGCATGGCATGGCATGGCATGGCATGGCATGGCATGACATGGCATGGCATGACAGGGCTTGGCATGACAGGGCATGGCATGACAGGGCATGGCATGACAGGGCATGACACGGCACGAGACAACCTAACAACAAAGGGAGACGTGTGAGGCGCCTCAAAAGAAGTGATGGGGTGAATACCAGCTTCACCACCTGGCATGACAAGGCATGGCGCAACCCACAGCATCATGATGCACATATTGAGGGGCATTCACACCCTTCTCAAACACAACTCACGTCAGTGAAAAACTCAGACGCGTCGTGCCTTGTGGCCAGCAGCGCTAGCAGCACACACCTTCTGCGGCATGGGGAGGTTCAAAAGTCGTTTCACACACACAACACAACTCACACCTGTGAAGAACTCAGATGGATCGTGCCCCATGGTCAGCAGCATCATGAGACACACATTGAGGGGCATACACACCCTTCCCTTCTCACACACAACTCAACTCACATCTGTGAAGAACTCAGATGCGTCGTGCCCTGTGGCCAGCAGCGCCAGCACCCGCTTCATGCCCTGCGCGCGCTCCGCCTCGTACTTGCTCGCCAGCAGCTGCCTGATGACTTCCAATGCGCCTTCAAAGCCAAAGCAAAGCACAGCCACACACTCACATCTGTGAAGAACTCAGATGCGTCGTGCCCTGTGGCCAGCAGCGCCAGCACCCGCTTCATGCCCTGTGATCTCTCCGCCTCGTACTTGCTCGCCAGCAGCTGCCTGATGCTGCCGCCGGCGTCGGGGTCATCGTAGAACGCTCCGTCGCTGGGGTGAGGTGAGGTGAAGAGGTGATGAGGTAGGGTGGGGTGAGGTGAGGTAAGGTGAGGTGAGGAGAGGTCGTGAGGAGAGGTGGGGTGAGGTAGCGTGAGGAGAGGTGGGGAGAGGTAGGGAGAGGAGGGGTGAGGTGAGGTGACGTGAGTGGAAGAGAGGCGAGGTGAGGATGGGTGTAGTGACGTGAGGTGAGATGAGATGATCCACGCACGTGGGGAGTAGTGAAGGGGAATAAACAACTGCATACTCCATACTAAATTCCCTGGGATAGTACCCCTGGGTTCAGCAGATCAGCATGTTATTACATTCTCCGTGTTACGATGCTCCACAAGCATACTGACAATCAAGCTGAGGACAGATGGATGTGGTACGAGCAATTGAGTGAGTACAGCTGCTGTTACGAGGTCCTTTGACAGCAGAACGTGTTTTCCGCGCTACGGGTCTGTAAAGCCCTTTCACAGGCGGAAAGAGGATGAGGTACGTACGAGCGACAAGCTATGAATCGACCCATGAATCCCATGTATCCTTTCTCGCTCGGGTTTCTTAACCGGGCTGCACAACCACCTGGACTCGGATGTGTTCACAACCGTCGAGGAGGCGAGCGGCACGAGACGAGCTACGCGCTAACCACTCCAAAGATTAGTAGACCTATGACTCACAGGATTCTAACAAGTCAGTTCCCACCTGCTGATGTGACTGATGAATTCGTATGTGTTCATTTTCATCGCTGTAGACGCCATGCTGCTGAGCAGCAGATTCGTGCTCCGAGCCATGGGTGCCGCCGCGGCCGCCGCCGCCGCCGCCGCTGCAGACGCGGACGCCGGGAGGATTCCTGCGACTGAGGTGAAATCGAAGTTACCGAGGGAATTCGCTTGGTTGTGCTGCATCGGCGGTCGAGGGGAACAGCAGCATGGATTCTTGAAAACAACTCGAATGTGTTTCCCCGATTGGGGACCGAACGGCTACGGGGGTTGACGGATCGAGATGGAGGACTGCAGGATGAATATGGAGCAACGTTCGGAGGGTGAAGCGGCTTGGAGGAATAGGAAGGGGGCTTGAGCCCGTTGACAAACGGGCTGAATCGTACTTTTTTCTGGGTAAGATGAAAGTACAGTAGTAAGGCGACTATGTCGGCTGAAGTGTTGCAAAATCGAGGACATTGTTTCCGCCAATCGATGCTGGTTCGGAAACACCAACAGAAGCCAAGCTGGAATACCCGTTTGGAACCAAAGCGTTGTTGTACAAAGTGAATTGGACCATATGATTTATGTGAAGTGTGAAGGCAGGGTGTCGCAAAATCTTGGGTCTCTCCGAGTCAAATCCGCAAACCTGGAAATGTGGTTGGCTTTTGAACTCAATGCCTAAAGAAGCCCGTGGACCTTGGAATATTTCCGTCATAGCCAATCACGACCTTTCATTCACCAACGGCAGATCAGTGTCGACGCAAAACCGGCACACACATGCCACGTCATGCAGGTGAATCATGGGAGACGCGGGAATTCAGGTGGCAGGCAGCACAAACCACGAGTTCCGTCTATTCCGTCTCACCGAACCGAACCACCCTGACAGAAGCACTTTTGTTGGTTAGGGAGACTTGGGCCGAACCTGACCGCAAACACCCAAGTTCCCTAGGCTCTTCCCCACCAAACCACAAAGCACCACAGCCACTGTCCAGTCACAACCTCTCTGTCGCTGGCGTGCGGGGAAATCTTCGCGAAAGGCGAAGCTTTTCTCTCGTTGCTTCTCGAGTCACCCTTTCACCCATGTTCCAAATTGTTCGCGAGCTGCGCTTGAGGTAACCAGCCCATTCCTTCTTGCACCAGGAAGAATAGGTCTTCTCCTCCAGCTTATCTTTTAGTCCTCCCCTGCATCAACTCTCAGCAGCAGTTCACCCCTTCATTCACCTCCTTCCACCAACGCACCCACCACCACCTTCCACTTGCAACATCGCTTCCACCTCCCCCTTACGCTAACATATTCCCGCTTCCACTTTCCATCCGCCATGGCCACCCTCCGCGGTATCTTCCGTAAGGACTCCTCGTCGCTGGTGCGAACTGCTGCTATCTTCTCTGCTGGCGCAGCCGTCGCCGCGTCTGCCTTTGCCTTGTCCTCCAGCGGATCGACTACCTCCTCCCGTCAAGTCACAGGTGCACCATATCCAAAAATTTCTCGTCAATGTTGTAAGTTCTTGCGGAATTTTTTTCTCTCTTGTGCTTCTTTCTTGAACTTCTTACACCATGTTCCAGCCGGGTCCCAGGTTCCTTATGAAGAAGAATATTAAAGATCTTTTTCACCCAGTTCGTCTTTTACACAAAATATAAACAACCACTTATCCCTTTCACCTTATCTTGTCAACCCTCGCAGGTGCTCTCCCGGCTGCTGTTCCCGCTGAATCCGCCGTGAGATCCGTGTCCACCTCAGCAGACGGCGCATCGTCGACTGCGTCTAAGGAGCACGTGGTGCTGGGTAGCGGCGAGTGCGACTGCGCTGCTCTCTGGGAGTGCCTTCAGACTCCCAACGCGGACTGCACACAGTTGCAGAAGGACCTGCAGGCCTGCCTCGTCGCCAATAAGCTGATTGCTCGTCCCAAGGCTTAGAGCAGCGTACGGTGCAGGGAGTCTGGGTGGACTGTCATGGTGTTTGGTGTTAGCATTATTCTTTTGGAGGCGATTCTTGGAGGGGTACCAGTTTGGTGGGGTTGTCCATAAGTTCGACTTATTGGAGCCGCTGTCTGTCGCCTGGTTCTGGTAGCCTTGCAGGCCTGACCAAGCACTTGCAGCAGTGCTTTACCGTACCGTATGTGCATCTTGATATGATTGTAGATATTGGCAACTGCAGGACTTTCTGAGAAATGCTAATATCCATGTGCACTTACCGCTTATATGAATGCTGCATGATCTCCTCCTTTCAAGCAACTTTTACAGTACCATGCCAACTTTGCATTAGCATAGCCTCTCATGCCTTTTGCAACGCTGAACATAGGTGGATCCGGACACCAGACCAGTGCTCTCCCCCCCATCAAGCACGTGAACTCAAGAACATGCATGTGACTGTTTTGCCAGCCAACTGAAGTACCGGTACTTCATGCTACGGTACTAGCTTAACAGGACATAAGCAAACAACATATGGTAATGTTACAACAAGTTATGAACTAGCACAGCAGTAGGCAATGCACCGTCATAGTTAGGTGCTGGTAAACCGTTCCACCTCCCCATCCAGCCTCTCCTGACCCACATTTATCTCTTTGTTTCACCTGATAGACCATAAGCACCTGCATCATCTGTTTCCCCCAAACACCTGCGTTAAATCGGAGGAACACCACGCCCCGACAGCACCAGCTACTGCATGCCTTTCATGCGTCCCCACCGCACCAGCCGAATCACCTGCCACAGGCCCAGAGTCTGAATTCCATTCCTGTGTCCCCACGCGCTTGTTTCCCCCAAATCCTGTGCCCCCCAACCGAACCTTCAACTGGTTTCCACCACCTCCTGTCAAAACAGACAGAATCATCACTTATCATGGAACACCAGCACCATCTGCTTCCGAGGCAGCGTTGCTTCAAACGCTGCTGTCGCAGCACACTCTGACAGCTGGCAAGGAGGCTCCATGCCCATACCACCTGCAGTGCCTATACCAGAACCATTATCCGTTCCCATCCCCATACCCATACCCATACCCATACCCATACCCATACCCATACCCATACCCATACCCATACCCATACCCATACCCATACCCATACCCATACCCATGCCCATTCCTTTACCCATGCCCATTCCTTTACCCATGCCCATGCCCATTCCCGTCCCAATTCCCATGGCACTGCTGTTATTGCACTTGCTGTGGCCCACATCAAGCCGATCCACGCCGTCCGCCAAATCAGATCCATAAGATAATCCAAAATGCACCACCGGCAGCAGCTCCAGCTCCTGTAGCTGCAGCATGGCCGCTGCAGCCAATCCCAACGCTCTATCCGTCAAGTTAACTCCATCCAAAGATAGTTTTTTTAAGTTCACAGCAACTGCACTGCCAGCCTGGCACATGGCCTCGACTGCCCAATCCATGACACTGTCCACGTGGCGGATCGCCAGGTGTTCCATTCGCGAGCAGGCAGAGGAGGATAAGACTGCCAGGCTGGCATTGATGTCGGGGAAATCGCAGGACGGGTGGCCGAAGAGGGAGAGGGAGCGGAGGGAGGGGCCGAGGGAGGTGAGGAGGAGGAAGGAGGGGAGGGAGGTGTAGAGAGGGAAGGAGGGGAGTGTGGTGGTGGTGGGTTGGGGGAGAGATGGCGTGGGCTGATGGGGTTTGTGGGATGGGGAGAGGTGGGAGAGGGAGGAGAGGGAGGAGAGGGAGGAGAGGGAGAAGAGGAGTGGAGAGCGGTACTCTGGGTAGATCGCAGGAGAGAGCTGAGGGGGGAAGAGGGAGGATGCGCAGACAAGGGGAAGGGAGGAAAATTGAATGTGTGAAAGAGAAGGGAGGAGGAAGGAGGAAGGACGAAGGAGAAGGGAGGAGGAAGGAGGAAGGACGAAGGAGAAGGGAGGAGGGAACGGAGAGTGCGGGAGGTCAGATGACCTAAATCAAACACAGTCCACAGGCGAGGATTTGCTGAGATTAACAGCAACGCAAAGCAAGAGACAGCCATTGGGGGTAAATAAAAAAAACGAGAAGGAGCAGCAGCAGCAGCAGCAGCAGGAGGGAAGGTGCAGTGTACATATGAGCCTGGGACAGCAGGCGATGAGAGTAGAAAGGGCTTGAAAGTCCATGGGCACAGGGGGAGAGCCAGCAGAGAGGGTGGAGTGGCAAGGGCAGGAGTGACGAGGTGTGCGGACTCAAGACGCAGCAGCAGCAGCAGCAGCAGCAGCAGCAGCAGCAGCAGCAGCAGCAGCAGCAGCAGCAGCAGCAGCAGCAGCAGCAGCAGCAGCAGCAGCAGCAGCAGCAGCAGCAGCAGCAGCAGCAGCAGCAGCAGCAGCAGCAGCAGCAGCAGCAGCAGCAGCAGCAGCAGCAGCAGCAGCAGCAGCAGCAGCAGCAGCAGCAGCAGCAGCAGCAGCAGCAGCAGCAGCAGCAGCAGCAGCAGCAGCAGCAGCAGCAGCAGCAGCAGCAGCAGCAGCAGCAGCAGCAGGGGCAGCAGCAGCAGCAGCAGCAGCAGCAGCAGCAGCAGGGGCAGCAGCAGCAGCAGCAGCAGCAGCAGCAGCAGCAGCAGGGGCAGCTTACATGTGAGTTTAGGGCAGCAGGCAACGAGAGTGGCAAGGGCTTGAATGTCCATAGGCACAGGGGGAGAGCCGGCAGAGAGCGTGGAGGAAGAGGAGGTTGATCCCCCTGTGACTTGGCAGGTCAGGGACTCGAGGTGCATGCATGCTCGCACGAGGGATGAGATGCCCCTGTGTGGCGATGGGAGGGGAGGGGCGGGAGGGGAGGAGAGGGAGGAGAAGAATGAAGTTGAGAGGGGAGGGAAGAAGTGTAGATTTTACAATTTGAGGTAAGGATGAGGTGGGAACAGGGACGGATGAGTGCCGATGTTGAATCACAGCATCGGCATCGTGAAGTGTCAGGAAAATTATAGAAATGAAGAAAAGACAGTCGGGGTCTCAAAAAGAAACAAAACTCGAAGAAAAAGAAAGGAAGGAAGGAAAAGCAGGACGAAGGAAAAGAGGAGCACCAAGAGCAGCAGCAATACCACGATGTGATAGCCGGGCAGAAGGAGACATCCAGAGAGGTCAATCCCGGGCATGATTGCCCCACAGCACTCAGCAAATCGTCTGTAAGCCCAGCCACGTGCCTCATCCGCACGTGCTTTAACCCGGGCGCGAGGCGCGCTATAACGGGTATGACCTCGGCGCGGCGGCAGTTGTCCATTGTGAGAGAGTGGAGGGACCAGAGCGGAGGGGGTGGGAGAGGCGGAGGGGGGTGTTGCGAGGGAGAAGGGGGAGGAATTGGAGAGGAGGGTGGACGGGAAGGAGAGGAGGGAGGACGGGAAGGAGAGGAGGGTGGAAGGGAAGGGGAGGAGGTTGGAGGGGATGGAGAGGAGGGTGGGGAGGAGGCGGGTGCGAGAGCACGGAGAGCGTCAATGGCTCCATCAGAGAAGTAAGCTGAGGGGATGGAGAGGGAGAGCAGGCGCGACCAGGCGGAGTAGCCTGGAGGGGTGGGATGGGATGAGATGAGGATCAAAGGCGTTGGTGGGGAGGGGCGGCACGGACGGAAAAGGAAGAGGTGGCCTGGCAGCATGCATCAAAGGGGGAGACGAATGCTAGGAGTGAGTGGGGACGGGAGGGGACGGGAGGGGAGGGGAGGGGAGCGGAGGGGAGGGGAGGGGAGGAAACGGGAGGGGACGGGAGGGGAGGGGAGAGAGTGACTGGCAAGTGTGTCTCAGGGACTGACAGACTCACCTTTGGATGTGAGTCGCTCCCCAGCGAAGTGCAGGTGCGTCAATCGCGGGCAGGAGGCGAGCAGATGAAGGCAGTGGAAGGGAGGGGATGCGGAGAGAAGGGAGAGGAAAGGAGAGGAAGTGACTGGCAAGTGTGTCTCATGGACTCACAGACTCACCTTTGGATGTGAGTCGCTCGCCCGCGAAGTGCAGGTGCGTCAATCGTGGGCAGGAGGCGAGCAGAGAGGCGAGAGCCCCGTCGGACACCTTGAGCGTGGTGCGCACTAGCAGCCTCTCGATGCTGGGACAGCAGGCTGACGGGGGGGGAACGCAGGGAGAGAGGGGGAGAAGGGCGGAGAGAAGGCAGGGCAAGGAGCGTCAGAGAGACACCTTGAGCGTGGTGCGCACTAGCAGCCTCTCGATGCTGGGACAGCAGGCTGACGGGGGGGAGGGGGAATGAGGAAGCAGTGGTGGGGAGAAGAGGAGGAACGGGGGAGAAAAAGAAAGGGAGGGGGAAAGGAGGGAAGGCAAGAGTGATGGAGCAAACGCGTGAAGGAGAGTGAACAAAATATCCACACAACAGCCTCCCCTTCCCCAGCTCTCTCTTTCTTCGGTGTGCTAAACTTTGGCCTAGCAATGCTGCTCCTATCGATGCCAAGTATGTAGAGGATGATGGCCATACTTTCCACCATTCCCAAAAGCTCCCCGCCCCTCCCTACCCCTCTTGCCGCCCATCCACCCACCAAACACTCTAGAGCTGCCATAACACCCACTCCCTAATTCCCCCCCTCACCTTCCCCCTCTCCGCATCTCAACCCTCCCCGCATCCCCGCGCCTGCCCTCACCTTCCCCTTCCCCTTACCAGCAACAGAGGAGAAGAGCGCGGACATGGCTACAGTACTCCCCCCGTCCCGCCATCCTCCGCCCATCGCCACCTCTAGCCGCAACAGCCGCTGCTTCATCCCCCTTATAAGCACCTCCGCCTGCGCGTGCCCCACCCTGCAGCCAGTCAGAGACAGACACGTCAGCTGCCTGCACCCATTCACCAGCGCGGAGAGAGACCCGCTCCGCACTGCTGCAGCTCCCCCCCCCGGGCCTCCCCCGCTTCCTCCGCCACCAGGTCCGCCGCTTCCGCCGCTTTCCCCGCTTCCGCCATGCCCGCCACTTCCCCCCGCGCCAGTTCCCCTGGTCCCCCCGATCCCCCCCATCCCTGCGCGAGGGGTTCGTCTGGGCCCAGATCCGCTGCCCCCGATATAAGCCGATCCGCTGCTGCTGCCGCTGCTGCTGCGATCGCCTGCTGCGCCCCCCTCGCTGGTCTCCCCTTCCCCCTGCTGCGCCTGCGCGTGGATCGCCGTGAGTTGCGGGCAGACCGCCACGTGGAGCTCCTGCAGACGTCGGCACTTGCCGGCGATCGCAAGGAGCGCGGCGTTAACGTCGCCGATAAAGCGGGATAGTTGCAGGGATCGAAGCGCGGCCCCGCAAGATACGGCGATGCTCGCGACGCCCACGAATGAGCACGCGGAGGCGGCCACGTGGCGAGCCGCGGGACCCGCAAGCTCCGCCGCCTTCCGCAGGAAATCGTCGCCAGGCTGGCGGCGGAAGGCAACGGGGGAGGCGGAAGGCGAGCGGGAATGGGGAAAGGCGGAGAAGGCAGGGGATGCGGAAGCGTGCGCGGAATGGGCGGAAGGCGCAAACGCGGAAGCAACGGCTGATTTTACGGCGGCGGCACGCGGATCTAAATCGTCAAGGCTCCTGCTCGCGTGAAGACCGCTAAGTCGCGCTTCGCTCGCCGCTAGCCGAGGCGCCAACCCCGCCGCAAAAGCCGGCGGAAGCGGCGGCGCAGGACTCGCCTTCGCGGAAGCTGCCCCGGCCGGTAGCGTGACGACAACTACTCGCTGATTTGTCCACGATTGCCCGTCTACGGATCGCCACCAGGATATATCGCCGTCATCTGTGGCGGCGGCTGCGGACGTCGCCATTTCTTGCTCGTCCGGAGGCAGATCCGTCCAAGATTCGGGCAAGGGCGGAACGGCGTTCGTGCCAGCGGCGGCGCTTCCTGACGAATCGCTGATACTAGTCGAATCAGATCTACTAGAGAAGCTCGTGCTTCTAACGAAGGCTGGAACGCCTCGCGCTGCTACTGCGGCGACGCTGCTTGTTCGAGCTAGCCCACCGCCAGATCCGGCGGCGGCGGCGGAGGCAACGCTACTGGTTCTAAACAAGCCGCCTCCAGCTGCTATGCTGTTTCTGCGGCTCAAACCGCCGGAAGGTCCGCCGGAAATTCCTCCTGGAACGTAGTTGATCTCCGGTTCAGGTTCTAAGAACGAATCGTTTGGGGGAGCAGCAGATGCGAGAAGGCGCCACGTGGAGCAGGTCATGCTAGCCGCGATGCGATCGCGGAAGTCGAGTCGCCGCATAACGCGGGCGAGCAGCGCAGGCGGCAGCCGCATGATGTCGCAACGCGGCAGCGCGGGTTCCGCGGATGCCGTGTCTCGTCGCGGCGGCAAATCCGCAACTGCCACGTCATCTTCGCTGTTGAATTCGACGGCTGCAGCGGTGTCCGCGTCATCGTCCCGCCAGCGTGGGCCACAATGTCTGTCGGCGTCCGCGTCGGCGGCGCTGAGGGAGTCTGGGAGGTCCTGTGGCATTCCCGCCAAAAATGCGTCCACGTGTCCCATGCGGAGGGTTTTACTAAAGGCGGAAGCGAGAAAGCCCTTGATTAGTGCGACATACTGGCAGCGGCGGTAACTAATCTGAACGTATTGAAAACAACCCGACACAAACGGGCCATGAACGATTGATCAATAACTGTAAAATGCTGGAGATTGAGAGTCCAAAGTCGAGCGGGAGATCCTGCTAGCAGATCGAGTGAAGACGATGTGAATGCTGCTGCTGCCTGTGCTGCCTTGGATTACTGTCATGGATTTGGGATCACAACCCATGTGGGCTTGCTCCCTCCAATTCCCGAGGATCATGCTGTGGCAGGGGTTTTTTTTCGAAACACCTACAAAGCTTTCAATGCGAGGCTTGCGAATGGGGACTTGTGACTCCGAAGTGTGGTATGTACTGAGCTTGTCAAGTCTGCTGTCCAATTGGAGCTACCAATCGTTAACACTAGGGCCCTGTTCGGGAGCCCTCAACCAGAGGGTGAGGATGCTGCTCTGTACCGAACCTAACAATTTTTCTTGACCACTGAGCCTCACTTTCTCCTCGCCAGAGAATGGAGAGGAGAAAGTGAGGACACTTTTGCCTGTGATTTCTGTGCAGCCAATGGGCTGTAAGGGTAGCGACTCGGAATCTCGAGCCGCTGCAGAGCAGAAGAAGAGGTTGATGTTTCCAAACCTCGAGGTTTGGTCACAACAGTGGTCGCAAGGGGGTCGCACGCGATTTTTGGGCTTCCGAACCTAGTTCTGTGCATCATCTGGATCTGGTACTCCTCTTCCTCTTGTTCTCCCGAACAGGGCCTAGATGGTTGCTTCCATTGCAAGAGCTTGAAGGGAGTAGTCGAGTACTTTTTTTTTTTGGAAAAATCGCCGCCCACGAAACAAGGCGTGTTCAGAACGAGTCGAAGCTTTGGAAGGGACAGGTCTAACGGAAAACCTCACTATAAGGCCGTTCTTTGTGCAATAGGAACTATGCATTGCACTCTGCAAAGTAAGACACACTCACTTCAGTTCATGGCTTAATTGTTTCCAAAAATAGGATCCCTTACAGGAACAACAGGATCTTAGGCAGTACCTTAGTCTGTCTGGACTTCGGTAGTAGCAGGGAAGTACACCCCTTCTGTGACCTTCCAAATGTTTTCAGGTGACTTGCGCTGAATACCACAAATCTGGTGGCAATGGATGGGGGCGAGGAATCACAGAAACAGGTTAAAGAGCATACCGTAGGAGATGAGGGGCCACATGACACACAAGAGGGAGAGAGGGACAGGAGGAACTGAGGCGAGAGGAGAGTAACTCAGAAGGAATTAAACCGAACACCAAGTCTTACCTCATACTGTCCGGCAATGGGACGACCATACTGCTTGTTGTGCGAGTGCAGATACCCCCCTGTGTCCACGTGCTGCAAGCGAACCTTCTGGTCGCGCATCCATAAAGTGCCACGTCCCTCAATCTCCAGCCTAGACGTAAAGAAGAAAGCAGAAGACGATGCCACAAGCAATTCATATCAAGGCACCATTCTTGTCATAGGCCATGCAAAATCGACTGTGCTACATCCTAGCCATTTGTTCGCTTTGGAGCATAAACCATGAAAATCAATCCCACCAGCAAGAAATCACACAGTTCCGCTATCGCTAATCTCATCAGGAAAGTACGACCTACCTAAACATATGACACGCAATTTGACAAGACAGCTACTACAGCGCTACATTCGCACCCTAGGTGACTTATGGAAACATATGCAACTGGTTCCACGCAACAATCTACAAACCACTTGCCAGGAGCACTCGAGCAAGACCATCTCACCTCCAGTGATCGCCAGTGTCAGACTGGTTGTCATCTCCATACGCACTGACCTGCAGAATTATTGAACATGTAAATTTTGATGGTAGTAAGTAAGTTGGCAGCTCAACCAAAAGGCGAATTGTTGTACCCCTACCGAAATATTGGCTCGTGAGAGGAAAATATAGAGGGTAAGAATAATTTAATTGCTAGCGAAACGAAATGAGAGATCGTACCTCGAAGTTGTTTGAGAGAGGGGAAGCATGCAGGTGGGAGTGAAGCCATCTTCTCGTCCTCATGTGCTGCAGACGGAACACCGCACCATCTCCCAGGGTCTGACCAGGCTCGCAAACAATCTTGTTAATGCAGCGCACGATCCAGTAGCTATTGCCGTCGTCACCGCCTTGGAAGCCGGTCACAGACTGCTGACCGCTGCCTGAGCCATAGCTAACCTCGTGCGAGTGCAAACGGTGCTTCAGACGGTCGTGTACAAGCTTTATGGCGGACCCGATCGTCACCTGGTGGGAGAATCGGAGAAAGTGGTGCAATTTTTGAATTTTGCCAGATGGCGGATGAAGGAGTGCCGTTTCGAACGATTTTGTTGGCGTGGGCTGACAAAAGAAAGCTGTCTTTTTTGGAGTGAGGAGAATGAGCTGCTAGACGGCTGCTGATTTAATCTCTTCGTTAACAAGTCCTTACCTCACGCGGCTCTGCAATTACTGTCGCGAATAGGGAGCTAAGAGCAACACCAATGGCGATCCACGCCATGGTACGCGAATGGAAAATTGGACTAATCATTGCTCTGGTTTGATTTAGGAATGCGACGACGTCACAACGGCCGCACTTAAACAGGAAGATTGCGATGCCGGTGGAGGGCGTAAGGAGCGGAGTCTGCGACGGAGAACCTAAGATGTGGTATTGCAAGAGCCAACTATGATATTGCCTAGGGCTCTGCCAGACGCAACAGCCTCCTAACAACTGGCCTGGTGTTTGAAACTTCGAGATCTGGGCCGAAACACGCTCTCGCAAGGGACTGAGTGGTGGGTGGGTGGGCCGAAACTCCGCCGCTCAACAGAATCCTCCACAGTTGACACTGGCGAGATGGCGAAGAAGTGCGAGCGTCGTTGACGGTGATTTGCGGGTTTCAACCAATTGCGATGGCTGGTAAAAGTTCTCTCGACCAATCCCGGTGCGGCGAACAGCAAATCTTGGAAACTCCAACCCAGCCCCGCCTCATTCGTTGGTCCGTGACGGAGGTTCTAGAGACAAACCAATATCTTCATCCAACGGCCCAGATTGCATCTAACCAGTTCAAATTCAAGCACTATTCGGAGACAAAGTTAACTAGAGTGCTAGAATTCCAGAGCTTTATCAACTACTCCCATACTGAGGCTATCGGTAAAGAGGACATAGCGAGACCAAATTTCCCAGGTTTGCACCGTTTATTTGAAATTCTCTATTATTCCTGAATTCCCGATTCCATCCAGCCATAGCTGCTCGTCATTCTGCATTCTATACCCGCTTAGCCCGCAAGGTTTCCTTTTCCGGTCGTAAGAGTATTCGCTCACTCTACCCTTACAGAGTCCTGATCTATGGACAGAGTTTGTGCGTCCCTACTGTATTGTGTTTGAATGTCACTGCACACTACACGACTGCTGGAGCTCCACATTTTCGCGCCGCTTCCGTCGTTCACCGCTTCATTATTTTCATTTCCAATTCCACCGCAACCATACGCACCAGCTTTAAAAAATCCCTTGCGTCTGCCTTATAACGGGGCTTCCTGTAGAGCAGTTGTCTCACGAGCTGGAATGGCGTTCCTGAGCCATGGAAGTCAAGCTCACAGCAAAGCCACTTCTCCAGCACGAGAATCTTTCATGAGGGGAAGCAAAGGGAACTCCGTCACTGAGGAGGACTCACTCCCACCGGCGATAGCGAATCTGAAGATTCAGGGCACGTGGTACGCGGATGGGGATGGCCACCGCGCGGCGAAGGAAACGACGAGCGGACGCGACAACGCGAGCCGGTGGGACCGAGGCGAGAACGGCCGAGCCGGATCGGTGTACTACTCGATCTGCAAACCTCCCTTGAAGGTATACACAAGATACGGTAGTTAGGAATTTTCAACTGAGAGGCGACCGGCATGAAACCCGCATTGGAGTGGTACTTCATTTGCAAGCCTCCCTGAAAAGGACGGACAGTGTTGAGAGACGGGTAAACGTGGTTGTCGCACTAGATTTTCAGCCCTTCGGTTATATAACGCCTTCGGATATCGCGATCCCGTCCCTTCATCTCTCCTCGTACGTCCCTCATCCAACCTCCTTCGTATCCTCCCCTCTCTTTCCACCCCCTTCTCTTCCCCTTCCCACCCAACCCTCCGTTGCTTCTCGCACTCTCACCCACGCATTCACTCACTCACTCCCTCCCTCGCACTGTACCTACCTCTGCCCCTTTGCACCGTCATTTACCTATCCGCACCCAGCCACGTGCCACGGCTATCTTCTTCCCCGGGGACAACGTGGAGGGCAGTGGCAGCGCACGCGTGGACCACCTGTCGCGACCTGAGGTGATAGCGGCGCTGGTAGAGGCGAAACTGCGTGGAAAGAGCGTGACGGGAAGGAAAGGGGAGCAGGCGGGTGGCGCTGTGGATGACCCACCGGTTTTGCAGGACGGTACAGCACAGCAGGAGGTGATAAAGCAGGAGCAAGAGAAGGAGAGGGAGCAGGAGCAGGGAGAGCAAGAGCCGTGCTTTAACGTCTGGGTGGTGTATCCATCACGCTACGAGGGACCCTTCGCCTGCTACGAGAACCTCTTTGGACCTCCCACAACCCCTTCCCACCCCTCGCCTTCCTCCTTCCCCTCCTCTCCCTCCTCCACATCACCCGCCCACGCGTCCTTCCTTCGCTCCACCTCCTCCTCCTCCTCGCCCTCCTCCCCTGCAGCATACTCTCCCTCCTCCTCCCCGTCCTCCCCACAAAGCCCCTCCTTCTTCTCCTCCTCCTCCCCGTTCCCTGCAGTGCTGACTAGATCAGGCGAGCCTATGGGGTATAAACCCCAGGGCCTGCCAACAGCGCATAGGCTGCTGGCGTTGCTGCAGCAGGTGGGGAGGGACGTGGAGAACAGTATGGTTGCTGAGACGGCAGAGGGGCGAGAGGTAGCGGATTGTTGCGATGGGAAAGAAGACAGCAAGAGTAACAGCCCAAGCA